ATGTTTTCTGCCCATTTCTTCACTGGGTTATTTGCTTTTCGGGTGTGGAGTTTGGTGAGCTCTTTATAGATTTTGGATACTAGCCCTTTGTCCGATATGTCATTTGCAAATATCTTTTCCCATTCCGTTGGTTGCCTTTTAGTTTGTTGGTTGTTTCCTTTGCTGTGCAGAAGCTTTTTATCTTCATAAGGTCCCAGTAATTCACTTTTGCTTTTAATTCCCTTGCCTTTGGGGATGTGTCGAGTAAGAGATTGCTACGGCTGAGGTCAGAGAGGTCTTTTCCTGCTTTCTCCTCTAGGGTTTTGATGGTTTCCTGTCTCACATTCAGGTCCTTTATCCATTTTGAGTTTATTTTTGTGAATATTATTACCATTATTTAAAATAGCGGAATCATCCAGCTTTCAGAAGACAAAAAAAAGGCCTTCAACTGGAGTGCCATCCCCTAAAAGATAAAGCTCAAGCTTCCATATTTGAATAGTAATATTAAAAACTAATAATTGCCAAGTTCTTACCCTGGTCCAGGCACTATTCTAAGTGTCTTTCCTGTATTAGCTCACTGACATCTCACAACAGTGTAGAAGACAATAGCCATTAGTATCCTTATTTGGGTTACTCAGGCTCAGTTATGTAAAGGCACACTGCTTGGTGGGGAGAGGACACCAACTCAAGTCTGTGTCACTCCTGAGACCAGGCTCTTCTCAGGATGCTTGCTTCCTAATATCCATTCTTCTGGGTCTTGAGAAGTATCTAAATTATCATTCAGATGTTCTCCATTCTCCATGTAGCCACTGTGCCTCAGGAGAAGATGGTCTCACCCCAGCCCGGGGGAAACATTTACTTATCTAAGTGAACTCTTACCCTCTGCTCAGTGGTTAGCTTAGATCTGGAGTTTCTGAATAAATCAGTATATGTCATACCACATGTGATAGGGGTTGGTCCAGAAATTGACATATAACCTACCCCAGGCTGGTAAGATATAAGGGGAAATACGAGGTTTTCCAGAAAAGAGGTTTCATCAATCTTGAAAGAGAGTTTCAGAGGGAGCCAGCCTCTCTTTATCCAAAGGCTGTCATATATATATGTATATGTATATGTATATGTATATGTATATGTATATGTATATGTATATGTATATGTATACACACACACACACACACACACACGCACGAATCTTGCAATGATAACAACCATCTTATTCATAACTGGAATAAAACTAGAACAAAATGGCAGAGCTGAGAGATTCACAGACCAAGGTGGCCAGAGCTCCAGCCCATTGCCCATGACTGTGGTCCTGGAGTTTCCCATTGTATAATCAATATATCATCTTTGTTTTCTAAGCCGGTTTCAATTGAGTTTTCTTCCAACTGAAAGTGAGCTAACTAAAACAATTGTGTGTAGTCTTTCAGAATCTGGCCTGAACTAGCATGCCTTTCTAGTTCTTAAAAACTCACTTGTTTGGGGCTAAGCAAGTCACCCAGAGGTTCTCAAATATACCATACCAGCCATCCATTTGCAGGTGTGGTTCTTCCTGCTTAGACTGCCCTTTGCTTTCCTCTCTCTGGAGAACTTGTGTTGCATTGTAATCATGTTTTACATGACTATCTCCATCACTTGACTTGGCCATGTCATTTTTGTCTTCATATCCTTAGTGCCTAGCATATGTGTGACACATAAGCAAGCACTTTAGTAAGTGTAGAGTTAATAAAAATGAGGGGCAGCATGAAAATCTTAATCACAGCATGGTCCTTCCATACAAGACACTCAATCATCTAAATGAATGCTGTCTAAAACTCTGTGATTATAGAAATGTTCTATACCTGTACAGTAAAGCAGCCAGCAGCACACGTAGCTATTGAGCACTGAAATATGGCTACTATGACTGAAAACTGAATTTTAAAGTTCACTATTGTAATTAATTTGAATTTAAATAGCCACATACTCTAAGTCAAAACAAAAAACAAAACAAAAAAATTAATATGATCTGGAAGGGGTTTTTTTGTGCAAAAGGAGTGTATTCACATATTTTAAAAATGTAATCTTAAGGTTTATCTTTCTTTTTAATTTTTAGTTTCAAAATGAATATGAGCAATAATACCTTATATGTCACAGTCAGTAATAAGGATTGGGCTGTCTCTTCCCTGCACACAGCATTCTTGACAGCCAATCAGCAAGAGCATCCTCATATTCTGAGGCAAGAATTCATGATTTTTGTAGTGGAAACTTTTCAGTTTTTGAATGCCCAGAAATAAAATAAAGCACATCATTTTTCCCCCCATGGAAAATCTTTTTGTAGGTATCAAATTCCACATAGCCAAGAAAATGGGTCTTTGCATAACTAAAGCCTGTTTTCTTTAACATTTATTTAGTTTTGAGAGACAGAGAGAGATAGAGTGTGAGCAAGGGAGGGGCAGAGACAGAGAGAGACACACAGTCTGAAGCAAGCTCCAGGCTCTGAGCTGTTAGCACAGAGCCTGACATGAGGCTTGAACTCACAAACTGCAAGATCATGCCCTGACCCAGAGTCGCACATTTACCCAACTGAGTCACCCAGGCACCCCTCCAAAGGCTTGTTTTCAATAAGTGATGGAATCTGTTCTTTTTAGCAATTAACGTTTCTGTTATAATGATAACATAGAAGTAAGGTGCCTTAAAAAATAATCATAGTGTATAAGCTTCTCCAAATTCTTTAGATGTCCAAGGAATTCAATAAATAAAAGTACTAAAAAAAGAAAAGAAGCCCCACAAAATGGTCATGCAGACATGGTGTTTTACCACAGATATTAAGTTGATCAGCCATTTAATGCGCAACAGATTTCTTTCCTCCCATAATTCATTTAGGTAAAATTTATGGAGAAAAGAAATCTATACAATAAACCCTAATTAGCATAACAGTAAAAAGTGAGGCCACAGGGGATAGTGGTTAAAACTATACCATACCTAATGATGTCAGACTTGGATTTGAATCCAGAAAGACTTGAGTAGGGGACAGAGATAGAGTGAGGTGGATAGACAGACAGACCACTCTCGGGTGAGCAAGGTATTATTACCCTACTTACAAATAAGGGAACCAAGGGTCATAGATACAATATATCTTGCCCACTGTCACACAGCTATTAATTGCTAGTGCTGAGGTTCAAACCCAGGTGAGTCTGCCTTGTGAAGCCTATGCTTTTCAAGCACTATCTGATGATAACAGACAGTTCCCAGGTGATATTGATCCTGCTGGTCTGGAAACCACATTTTGAGAACCACTATACATAAAGGTCAATAGCAGGCAATAAATAGCCCAATAGTGGGAACAAGTGTGGAGATTTGCAAGTCAGTTTCACAGATAAGTTATGTACAGTACAATCAAGATCTCCAGGACAAAAGTAATATTGTTGTGTGATTGAAAAGAACAGTAGGTAAAGACAGTGCTGACCACAAGACTCTGCCACAATATTTATCTAGAGATCTATTCACCGGCTACCAAGCTAAAAAGGCATGTCTGCTATGTGAGAAAAACAAACTCCATTAGGGATATATAAGTGAACACAGCTGTCTGAAGAGGGATCTAGATTTCAGCTTTATGCCACCTTATCATTTTGGTTTTAAGACCCACTAGCTACAAAGCAGGCAGTGTTGGGCAGAGGCAAGTGTGTTGCCTCAGGGGCCAGACTGAGATCTAGAGTCTGACTCTCATTTACCACCTGGGTGACCTCTGGTAAGTTAACACTCCAGGCCTGTGTTCTCATCCATAAAATCTGGAAAATGAAAATTGAGGATATGAATCATTCTTTTTTCATCAGGCTGTTGCAAAAATCAATGAGGTAAGGCACAAAAAAGCCTTTGAATGGTGCCTGCCATGTACTAGGTGCATAAGTACTTAATACTAAGTACATAAGTACTGACTACATAACTGTCAGCTACTATTATTTGTCCCACTGCTGAGTCAAGCCATGAGAAACAGGAGAGGCTTTCCTGATTCTCTTGATGATCATTTGTACCAAAATCTCATCCAGGTACCTGCAGGTAAATGTGATCATCGGGGTTCCTGAGTGTCTGTAATGTGCTGTGCTAACAGATACTGCCTCCGTTAGATGGGAGCATTTCTACACATGGGAAAGGAGGCTTTTTATAAAAGAAAACAAAAAAACAACAACAAGAAAAACACCTTATTTAAATTTTCCTTTTGCCAACCCTAAATGACCCTGTATATTTCAAAGGGGCCTCTGAACCAGACACATGCCTTTTTTTTTTTTTTTTTCCCATTTAATTCCTGTGGCAATCCTGGGAAGTCCTTGTCTCTGTTCCTATGTTGAACACCGCAAACCGGAGCTTACGAGGTAAAGTGACAATAAACTGATAAGCCAGAATTTGAGCTAAGATATGCTTGAGACCAAAGCCAATACTACCTTCAGATTTATAAAACATGGGAGGATACGTACAATCTTTTATTTAAGGAGTGAGGGGGTCTGATACGCAAATGCTCATTTATGTATGTAATATTTCATGTTCCATGTTTTCCCCTTAGAAGAACCGATGGAATAATACAAATACCAAGTTACCATAGATAAGTATGTAACACCTAAACCTTGTGGAGTGTGGACAACTGCCAAGTATTATCACATGGCTACTTACTAATCATACCTGTTCAGAATAGAATAGAATATCCAAAACTTGGGGTGGGGGGACTACCTTGAATTTAGAAGTAGGAAAGGGTTCTGTTGAACTTTGACAGATATTGAGGTTGGAGAGTCCACTCTGGGGATTTTAGCATTTTTGATTCTTACTCAGTAATTTCCAGAACATAGAGTATCTGCTCACCTGCCCTGGACAGAGCCTATGCCCTCTTTCTTCTCCTACAGGAAAACACCACAGATTTCTATGAGCACCTGATTGCCATCTTGTCTCCTCTCTCTACCTGCCCAGGCATCCTGGCCCCCCCACTTGCAATCTGGGGCTGTCAGGGAATATTGTAGTGAGTCATCTTGCCCCAAGGCTCTTCCCCTAAGGCATACCTTACTATTTAGGATCTGGAAAACCCTCTGCTGCGTAGTCTGGCCAGCCTTGGTCCTCACAAGGATGTAAATGACTTTCAGGTCTGGGCTGGTGCGAAACAGCTTCTCCATCAACACTTTGCCCATGAAGCCTGTGGCCCCAGTGATGAGAATGGACTTGCCACCATAGAAAGCTGCAATCATGGACATGATTCTTCTCTTTGTCTTTTATAGCTCCAGAAAGAGGTTCCTGAAAAGGAAGAGAAATAACAAAATGTTACATTCTCAGAAGCTCAAAAATGCAGTCATTTAAAATGTTTCTGATGCTTCCAGGAGTTTTGAATGTAGAAAAAGGCCCAAGTGAGGACATCATGGTTTATTGACAAATGATTCATTTCAATCGAGATTTATTGAGATCACTTTATTAAATGCCAGACTTTATGCCAGGAATTGTGGGCAAAAAATGAGTGAGACATGGTTCTTGCCCTCAATAAATTGCTCTTATTCAAACGGAGGCCAACACCTAAATACATCATTAAATATAATACATGAGTGCTAAAACAAAGGGGGTCACAGAGGTGGGGTGTACAGCAGGATCTGGAAATTTCAGAAAGGCCTGCCTGAATAGGTGGTGATGCATGAGGTAAAACTGGAAGGCAGAGAAGGGCTGGGGTAAAGGTGTCCCAGTCCAAAAAGCAAAAGCAAAGGTACAAGCTATAGATTGTGCTATATGGAGGAAATAAAAGGAGTTCAGGGTTACGAGAATGTAAATGATAAGGCTAGGAGTGGCCCCAGAGCCTGCGAAAATTAAGCTGAGAACAGCTATCACATTTTTTGAAACTTATGATGGAATTACCATTACAGTGGCAGTTTCATTTACAGAAAATATTGGAAGAAATAGCTTTTGGTCTCATGTGAACTAACAGGCCTTTGCTTACCTAGCCATTTCTGAATATATATGCTTTTCTCTTCCTTGAGCTAAAAAGGGGCCCCGTGCCTCCCTTTCCCTGTATGGTAGCTATTCTTAGGGTTGAAACGTGGCAAGAGACAAAGGGCAGAGAAGCTCGAACAAGTGAAGCCACAGACCAGGGACTTTGTTAACCCTGAAGTGGCTCCAGGTGATCTATTGTCCGTTTCCGGCCATTGCCAGGAACACAGAGAAGGAGCAAATCTGGTAGGGGGAAGCCACATGTGGCATTTGGATCCTGGGCCTCCTGGAAAAGGCACCATATGCTGTAGGCATGCAATGTGAAGTGTTTCGTCTTTAAGCCTGGGTTTAAAACTGTCCATTGGAAGCAGCGGTGGAGAGCTTTGAATGAAACAGTGCTGTGGTGTGGGTGCAGACTTCCTTTCTGTCATTGTCACTGATGGCCATCTGTAGCCACTCCCCGGCAATCTGCTGGATGGGGTTGGGTTGATCTTGCAAAACACAAGCCCAGGGACTGGCCCTAACATCAGAGCTCATGAGGAAGACAAAAACAGGCAGAAGAGTCAGCACCCTGCCTTGTCAAGTCCAGTCAGGATTACTCTGCCAGTAACTCCTCAACGAACTCCTTAACTTCTCATAGTCATAACTTACAAATTGTAATTATAGACATAGTTTATACTGTAAGGAATTTGAGGCTGTTCTTGGGCAGAGCTCTTTGCCTTTGGAGGATTCGTTCACTCATGAATTCACTCAACAAGTAATTTTGAGGACCTATCATGTCGGCATCTGTGCAAAGTTCCAAAGATTAACAGATGAATAAGGCAAACAGACCCTTGCATTCCCTTTAGCAGAAGAGGCCAACAACACAAAAGTAAGTAAATATGCAAACAAGATAATTATAGACTGTTAAAAATGCAAATAAAATAGGGATCAGTGACAGAAATCACACCCAAACATCAACACTATTCACTTTAGGAAATCTGGATTTCAAATGATGTTAGCTATATCCCCTGAGTCCCTATTTAAACCCCTCTTATTGAAGGCTGATGTGAAAAATACTATTTTGAAGAACACATTTGGACTTGGTGCAAAATAGCAATCATAATTTTGGTCATGTTCAATAATGTTATTCATGCTGCAATGTATCCAATGATTTTCTCAAGATTTTATCACTTGGGAAAAGTATTGATGAGTTTTGTCTTGCCTGCCTTGAAACAGAGGGAGACACAGAATCTGAAGCAGGCTCCAGGCTCTGAGCTGTCAGTACAGTGCCCCATGTGGGGCTCAAACTCATGAACCATGAGATCATGACCTGAGCCAAAGTCAGACACTTAACCAACTGAGCCACGCAGGTGCCCCATTACTGTTCACATATTTTGATCCCAGACACAGTTTTGTAGCATGTGATAAAAAATTTCAGGAAGCAGGTAATATACTTCTAATGAGCCCATTTCTTATAGAACAAAGGAAGGGTTGATGTGTCCCCAAAGAACGGAATTTGCCTGCTCTGTCTGGAGTCCAACTACTTCTCAAATACAACCCAAACCACGGCAGAGAACACTGAGTTCTCCGACAGGAAAACAAAACATAAAACAGTATTTCCTGGCACTCATTACCCAATTGTCAAGAGCAGGTGGCAGAGGAGTGTGGCCAAGACTCTGATCAAGACAAGCGATTCTGAAAAATGTCAGGGAATTCCTCATCCTCCGATCAAAGCTGTAACAGAGATGTTTCCTCTACTTCTTGCTTCCACTCTCAATATATGGCTTAACACTGGCCCCAGAAACTCCTATATGAAATTTGGCTCCCTGAATTCTATTCCGGGTATTAAACTTGCAAGGTCCAGGGACTGTTAACCCTGAATATAATTCATTAAAATAATTAAATTCTTTTAAAAATTAAAATAACCTTACATTCAGTAATGGATGATGTGCAACTCTTCAAGGAGTAATACGTTTAGGACAGCTGACCAGGTAATGGTTTGCCTTTCATATCTTCTGATTGCCAGTGCAGAGAGCAAAGGACAATTTCTTGTCCCTCATGCTCATGATATGGCTTGTGGGAAGCCTAAGCCACTTTGACAACTTTCAGAATCATCCTGTATAATGTAGGATGTATGACGCTTGAATGATAAATGAGGGGGGCCTCTGAAAATCAGCCAGTGCATGTTTGTTGAACACGTACTACGTTCCTGATACTGGGTAGGCACTGGGAATAGCAGTGAATAGGCTGTAGGCAGCTTAGATTCTTCCTTTCTATTCTGGAGCTTTCTTCTTAAGATCATTTCCCATGGTCATGAGTAGAAATAGCTAGTTTTTACTATCCTTTTGGTAGTAAAATGAGGCTGTTCTCATTTCTAGAGAACAGATGTGAAAATCCTGAATCATAATTGTTGTGCCAAGTTATATACATTTTTGCTGGTTTCAGCATATAGGAATTATTCTTTGAATGGTTCTTCTGGAAAATAAAAAAATTAAGATTCAGAAATGTAAGGGAGACAAGCTTGCCCAAATTTCTTGATAGTCCTTCAGAAAAAAACATTAAAAAAACCCAACAAGGTTCTTTGCCTCTTAGGAATCTTACATAACCAAGGTTTCTTAGTCTTGGCACTATAAACATTTAGAGATGAATAAATGTTTGGGGGAGGGGGCTGTCCGGTACAATGTAAAGTCTTTACTTGCATCCTTGGCCTCTACTCACTAGATGGTAATAACATCGCTCTTCCTCAGCCAGGTATGTCTAGACTTCGCTAAATGTGCTCTCGGGAAAAATTGCCTCTTCTTCAGAGAATCATTGTTCTTGGACCTTCTTCAATTCTCATTTTATAATATGCAGCACATCATACTAAAAAATCAAGATTCAAGGCTTAAATTTCTGCTTGTGAAGCTAAGCACAAATAAGATCCACTGCTACCCCTATTTTACCTATATTAAATCCTTCATGGCTAAGTATATTTACCCAAGCAAATTACACGCATGGCAAATTCTGATAGTACTCAAAGTGAAGATGAAGGAAGATTTCTTCAGAGAAAGATTACCCCCTTTTTATTTAACCAAATTTCTTCTGGTCTCTGTGCTTTAAGTTAGACTATGAACCCCACATTTCATATAGATTGAGCCTCTCAATTTTATCCATCTAAACTGATTATGGGCAAACTTTGGAAAGAATAGCAATTGGGCCAACAGGAGATCAGCCAAGGAAAACCATTTAGTATTGGTTACTGTATATTAATAATTCTATAAATAATTGAGCCAATCTCATCTGTGGATAATTCTGTTACCCTTTGTGAAAATTCAGACATGATGTGTATTAAGATATATCTCATGTAGGCAAACGGAGTGTCAGTTGGCAATGAGCCTGGTAATATGGGCTGATCTATTGAAGAAAATTGATGCTATTTTGTAAAACTCAGTAAATGAAAGTTGTTCTGCTTCATCAAAATTGAACAGTTGAAATTCTTTCAATAAATGTGTTGAATTAATCACATAAATGCATTTACAAAATATTATTCAATGAAAAAAAGGAGACGACAAACTTGTGAAGCATCATTAATGTCCATTACAAACCCCTGTGGGAAAGAATGGGGGTGTGTGTGTGTGAAATCAATGACAGTAGCTGTATAATAGTGTGATAGGATTAAAGGGAAAGAGTCTCTTTTCATGTCTGTAATTTCTTTCCATGATTTTAAATGGTAATTTAATAATATATACTTTGAAAAAGTTCCCAGAAAGTCATGGCAGCTGGTATTTTTATAGGCTCTTCTTTTGCTGTGGGCACTAAAGGTACAAAGAAATTTGCAAAACAAGCCTCCTTAGTTTATTTATTTTCTTTTTCTTTTTTTTTTTTAGAGAGAGAGAGAGAGTACAATCTGGGGAGAGGGGCAGAGGAAGAGAGAGAGTATTAAGCAGGCTCCAAGCTCAGCACAGAGCCCCTTGAGGGACTCAATCCCATGACCCTGGGGTCTTGACCTATGCCAAAATCAAGAGTCAGATGCTCAACTGACTGAACTACCCAGGTGCCCCCAAACATCATTTGTTTAAAATGTGTTTAAATATTTTTAAAAATGTAGCTAAAATTACATTAAACACTATTTATGGCCTGAATTATGTCCTCTCCAAATGCATAAGTTCAAAGTCTAACACCTACTGTGATGGCATTTGGATATAAGGTGTTTGGGCTACATGGGATCATCAGGGTGGGGCCCTAATTCAACAGGACTGGCATCCTAATAAGAAGAGGAAGAGACACCAAAGAACAGTCTCTCCTTAAACATTAGGCACCAAAGAAAGGCCATGTAAGTAGGTACAGAGAAGGGAGTTGTC